CCACTGTTCTATACCGCCCTATAACAGTTTTAGTAATTTTAACTTGGCCTAAATAAAAATTCTGTTCATAAAGAATAGCGTTGAATAAACGAGAATTTTAAAACTTTTCATTCTTATTGTGTAGATTATGTTTCAGAGTAGTGTTCAAGTAATATTTAACCTTGTAGATTAAATTTTATTGCTTAACAAAATTATAGAACATAAAACGTGAAAATTTCTTTTATAAATTTCCTATTTTTGCGTAATAAATGGGTCCTAAATACAGCCATGTTAAAAGGCGAAAGAAAAATATTACTTTGATCATTTGCTGTAAGAAAACATTATGAAGTTTGTTTTCGAAGTTTCTATTATTCTTTTTTATCAAGTTTTTCTATTTGCTTCTTTATTAATTCGTGTTTATTATGGGACTCAGTGGCTGTAATGGTGAGACAGAAAAGATACTAATCTCACAAACAAAGAAAAATCTTACAAGTAAACGAAATTCTGTACCTTAAGTTAAATGTAATTAATTTTTCCACATTGTTTATTTACCTTGCCTTATATATAAACTATAAATTCAGTTATTGAAACATCTATTTCATTCCAGAGTGTGCTTTACGCTGAACCTGAGATCAGAAAATAGAGGTGAAGGAGTTATTTCGCTTCGAACTGCAGGAGACATTAGTCTCCCTCGAGATCGTTCTAGAAAAGGAGCAACTTCCATGATGCGAGGACTTATTGTACCGCAAGGTCACAATAATCCACCAGCTATCATACCACTTACGCACTCTAGAGCCTCTCGAGAAAGCGGAGATTACGCGAGTAGCGATGTCCAGGTAAGTTGGCAGAGAGAAACTGGCTTTGAAATATATTTAAGAAAGCATTGAAGTACTTTTTGATTCACAATGTTCGGTAACACACTTAATACATTTCTTTACACTTAGACATTTCAAGTACTCGTGAAACGTAATTCATTTGTAGCATTGTTGTTTATCGTTCATTATTTCATCATTTTGGAATGGAAACGAGAAATTTTGATATAATATTATTCAGTAAATTTTCTTTATACGTTCCATTACTGAGAACAAAATTGGTAATACCTCATACATACATATGTATGTGATCCCCATTTTTATGCCAATGGATTTAATATAATAATATCGACGCACATCGCTTGAAATTTATATTTTCACGCGTTACTTCCAATTAGCTTTATTATTAAGTAGGTAATACAACAAAATTTTATATATTTTTACAAATAAAATAAAATCAAGCTTACAGAAATTTTATCAGCTATAAATACAGGACAAAAGTTGAAACATTTCATAATTCCAAATAATAAATTTACTGTTTCATCTTATTGCGTTATACAAGGTGTCCCGCGCAACTTGGACAAGCTATATCTATCTTTAAAAGGGTTAGAGATAGAAAAAAATTAAATGGTGTCAAGTGGTGCATATTCTGGAATTAAGTTTATGCATTTTTGTGCATCGGTGCATCAGGTGAACCCCATATTTTTGGATACACTTGCAGGTGCAGTTTTTCACTCTCTACAAAAGAATGCTATGATATTTATGCCTTGAAACTATTAGTTCAAGAGTTATTGCAGTTTGAAATTTGCTACATTATTTCAGTGTATTAGCAGATATCATTGCATATTTACGTTATAACAAATGCTCAAATGGTCCTTCGTCACGCACTGAACACTTCATTCTTTTATTTGTCTTGCTTAATACATGAGTTACGTCTCTTTCCGTGAATTTGTATATTTCTAGCAAAATACGTTGTTATTTAAGTTTCCCCATAAAAAGAAATCGAGAGGTGTTAGATGTTTTACAAACATTCTTCAGTTTATAAAATTGGTTTTGATAGATCCCTTTTTTTTTCATTCTTTTATTTGTCTTGCTTAATACATGAGTTACGTCTCTTTCCGTGAATTTGTATATTTCTAGCGAAATACGTTGTTATTTAAGTTTCCCCATAAAAAGAAATCGAGAGGTGCTAGATGTTTTACAAACATTCTTCAGTTTATAAAATTGGTTTTGATAGATCCCTTTTTGGTTTATAAAACGAGATATATTCGCGTAAATTAAATTATAATTTACAAAAGTATATATGCATTGGTTGTTTTCAGTCAGGATATGTTTCTTGCGGCTTCAGAAGCATTCCGATTGCATTTAATAAACATGACGAACACGTCCACTTTTTCGCTATTTGCAAATGTCATAACTTTCTACTACAGAATGAAACGTTACTGATGACAAGGTACCTTAGCAGTGGATTCATGTTCATAAACATTGTAACGCATAGTAAAGAAGTACACAATATTTCTTCGTACATGAAATTAGGAAAATTTCAAACTTTCGAACTAATAATTTTAAGGTATAAGTACCTTAGTATTTTTTTGTAGAGAGTGAAAAACTGCATCAACTAGTGTATCCGAAAATATAGGGTTCCATTAAAGAAACAAGTGCAATTGCACTTTTCTGATGCACCGATCCGCAGAAGTGCGTAAACTTAATTCTATTTAGAATATCTTTTTTCATCTCTAACTGTTTTTGTTCAACTCTGACACGTCTTCTAGAATCGATGGATGATGTACGCGACTGTGTGATCGCCTGAACTTTTTGCTTCTACTTCTCAATTTGTTCTCCCGGTCTCGTTGACTCTTTGCCCCGTTCAGCCCTCGCATTTCCCCTCCCAAATGTTGCATTTGGGTCCCTTGACGGAGGTGAGTTTTGGGTGGGAGGCCAAGACTCCCACTCAAGTTCGGGCCTTGGTCAACACCCAACACCAATCACTCGCCCTCAAGGAGGGGGTGTTTTGCGTGAAGTACGCGTCACCTGGGCTTATGAGAAAAACCCAGGGTAATTGACTCTTTGCCCCGTTCAGCCCTCGCATTTCCCCTCCCAAATGTTGCATTTGGGTCCCCTGACGGAGATGAGTTTTGGGTGGGAGGCCAAGACTCCCACTCAAGTTCGGGCCTTGGTCAACACCCAACGCCAACCACTCACCCTCAAGGAGGGGGTGTTTTGCGTGAAGTATGCGTCACCTGGGCTTATGAGAAAAACCCAGGGTAACGGTACCGCTCGCTCGCGAGAACGTGCCAACTGACAGTAAGGAATAATTAACGAACGAAAACATTAAACCCGTATTCAAACCTTAATCTCAAAAATAGCAGGGCTCGTTGCCCATTGCCCAAATTGATACGTCAATTGCTATTGGGATGCACGAAGAAACTCCAAATTCTCCGCTTTTACGAGAGGTTTGGAGCCCTCCTGACAATAAGGAATAATTAACGAACGAAAACATTAAACCCGTATTCAAACCTTAATCTCAAAAATAGCAGAGAGCCGCGTCCGTATCGTAAACCTTGTCTAACTTAAGTATCCTTAACAGTTTTAAAGATACAGCTTGTCTCAGTTGCGTGGAACACCCTGTATATCTATGAATGTCTTTTCTCTTCAACTTTTAAGCCGTAGCACTCTTTAAATCCACGTCATACTTATTGAATTTTTTTTATTTATACTCATAATTACATTCGTAAGAATTTTATATATTCGTATTCAGTAAATTAACAGGTACAATGTCACGTAGTTGTTTTCGATTTGATTGTACTTAACATGATTTGTTTTTTCATTTCATTTCACGAAAGTTTCAGAATGTTATTAGTTACGTTCTTAAAGACCCATGTTCAACATAATTCATTCAATTAATCATTACAGAGTGTGAGTTTAAGACTGTCGACTGTGTCGGTGGACACGAGTAAGAACGATTTTGTAGTAAATGTTCTTCAACATAAACTTTGCCATTTTTATGATTTTCACAATTATCAAATGTTACCACTGTCGACAGTACGATTATTGCAGATATCATCAATAATTGATTCCAACCTGACTTATTAATGCAACCCTATTACAACTACTGTTAGAACTACCTACATACAGTGTGAGGCAACATCTTTGTCCATCTAGAATATTTCCATTATTTGTATTAATATGGAAAAATGTCATACACAAAACTTGCATGTTATGGAGCGGTACATAATGTGACGTAAATACTTTTTACATGGCTAGAGGTGTTGAGGAGATTTCAAGATCATTTCAATTTTTTTAGAAGGGACGCTGAATTTTTGTTTATCGCTGTGAGATGGCCGCTATTGTGAAGATTTCAGCATGCTATCGTTAAAGGTCATTCAAGGCCAAACGTGATGGTAAAATAAATTTTCTTGCATTACAGAAAATGTTCGAAGTGTTAATCATTCGTGTCGATGCAAAGTTGCAATCTGTGGATCGCTGATCAGGTGAACGTCTTATCGCCAATGTTGTCTCATATTTTTGGTGCAGTTGGTGTTTCTTGATAGACAACATTTTTGAGTGCATTTCACTATATTTTTAAAAATAACGGAAATATTCCAGGACAATTTTTGCTCTATCCTGTATATCACCAACGGTTGATTCTCATACAGTCTGTGAATTTAGAAATTCAGGTATTTAGAAAACAAGAATAAAACACTTTTTAATTACGATTAAAAAATAGTTACAAAATTCGAAATGATCAAGCGCAAAGTCCAAAGTTCGCAAGTGCAGAGTCCGAAGTTTCATACAGGTATATAGAATCCTAAAATCTTTTTAAAAAATTCTCCCTTATATTCTAACTGTTCTGTTCTACAGTTATTTGACCGTCCAGATGCGTGTCCTTGTAGAATATTTTAATCAATGGGAATTCGAATCACGTCGCGTCTCGGACGTCCGTGAGAGGGATTTTTGTTGGGACACGCTGATTGGTTAATGGTTAACGATTGCATTTGCCAATCAGCGTGTCTAATATCGTCTTTATATATAGCGCTGTCACCTTGGAAGGGTGGGTGGCGGTCGCGAGGGGTGGGCAGAAAGTCCCAAAAATCTGGAATTTCCTCCGGGTGACTAATCGGCAAGCGGACCGTTACATACAGATGTGCCGTTCGGAAATTCGTGGTTTATGGTATGTTCGTAGGCTATTGGGCGCGAGGGCCACCAATTACTAAAAATCTAGCAAAGCAATTCTGGTGACCCTCGCAGGATGTAATCAGACCCGTGCAAGCAATAAACGAAAATCCTCAACTCAAAAATAACCGTTCCCGGTCGATCGTGTCATAAACCGTTTCTACAGAAAACCTAACAAACTGTTAAGTGAAAAGTTTCAATTTTTTCAGAGGATATAAATGTAACTTTCAGCTTTTTTCTGCAATGTTTAAAAAGTAAAAATATTACAAAATGAAGGAGTTACTGCGAAACTTCGGCTAGAATATCAATTGCTGGCTGCCATCGTCGGCAAGGATTGGAACATCTGAAATAAAAGATTACTTTTGCTTTATAAATAAAAATGTATTAACTACAAACTAGCGTATCGCTAGTCATTTTTTTCGATATTTCCATTATTTGAATTTTTAAAAACGTTTAAAGCTGACTGTTTTTAGCAAAAAATGGTTTTTCCTCGTCAAACTGCCACCATTTCTATAGTAATTTCAATTTTTAACGAATCCTACGCTACATTGTAGATAATACATTTTTATTTATAAATAAACAAGAATTTTTTATTTCAGACATTATTATGGTTGCCGGTGGTGGCTGCCAAGCAATCGATGTTCTAGCAGAAGAGGTTTCCCAATTAGCGAATAACTCCATTTTGCAGCACTTTTATTTTTTTCTAATTGGAGAAAGAAACTGAAAGTTACGTTTTTATCCTCTGAAAAAATGTTAACTTTTCATTTAATAGTTGCCTATGAAAAAAATTCCCAAATTTACCTATTTTTAGACACATCAGAGCCGTGTACCCCCTTAAAACTAAAGGTGATCCTGAAAAAAAAAAAAGAATTTATATTGGTTCAGTAGTAACATAAATAATTAAGGTGATCCAGTTACGTTGTCCACCCTGTATACACCTATAATATGTGTGAGCAGAAATTTATAAAATATTCTGCAGTGTAGATGTTGACGAATTGTCGAATTAGAGAGTTCCTACCCCTTGGACATTCATCCATTGGCCGTGAGCGTACTGCCCATCCTGGAGTTTCCAAGTTAGTAGGGTGATGGTATGGTGTCGCGGAGGGTGAGTCAGACCGAAGGGGTGATCAGGCTTAAAGGGGTATTCGCTTTTCCCGGCCGCAAAAATAGGCAATCTTTGCTATTTTTTTAATAGAAAAATCATTGTATAAATTCAATCTTTTTACAGTGTGTTTACGAACTTTTATATTTTATGTATACAAAATTTGGCTTAAAAAAGGTCAGCAGTTTTGATAGAATGCCTGCAAAATGGACGATGAGCATGATTCCGTCCTCCAAAAATGAAATTACAAATTACAAATTACTCTTATATTCAGAAATGTTCTCTTTATCGTCCGTACTAGAATCATTGATATCCGATAACGCAA